TTTGAACTCTGCACTAGCCTGAAGAAACGAGAGATCACGTGGAAGTATGTCCTGAGGCTGGTGTCATCGTTCAGAGGCTTGCCTGTCGTATAGAAAAGGATGGTGGGGCTGCGCTGGTTGCTGATTATGGTCATGATGGAACCAAAACTGACTTATGTATCATAAGTCCTTTACCCTGAAATAATAAGCCAAAATACTCTGTTATCTTTTATTTGCCACTTGGATCATTAGATTCTCGTAAGAGAAAGGTCTTGGGTGGACATAATAGCAAAAACCACATTATGCTGCAATTGTAGAACTGAGTGTTTTGAGTTCTTATTTAATCGGTGTTCATAAGGGTTTCTGTCAGACAAAGGATAGTCTGAGCCCTTGCTACATTTATCTCAAAGTATAATTTGCTGTTCTCACCCCTCACACGCACAACTTGGTCTCTGCTATGGTAGCCAGGAGTACAGCTGAGTCCAGTCTTCCAATTTCATTTTTCAGGGTTTCCGGAATCACAAACTCCACGATGTGCTGACAGCTCCAGGTACAGCAGACCTGACAGCAGATGTTGATTTCAGCTATCTTCGAAAGATGACACAGGGAAGAACAGCCACATTAGGCCCCATAAAACAGCGGGAGTTTTTAAAAAACATGGGCATTGACCTCCGATTGCAGGTATGACAGCGTTTACAGCGACATAAACTCTCCTAATCCACAAGGAATACTCTTAAGCAGCTGGAGAGTTTTCTTTTAAAATCTGATTTTAAAAGAAAGTTGTTCAAAACAACATCTAGGTGTGAGATCAAAGACTTGCTTCTCCTAGACATAAGTTACTCTGGATCCCTCAAAGTAAACTGATTGTATTACATTTAGGAGTATTTAATGCAAAACTTTGCTACACACATCAATATATGAGCTCCACTAGGGATCTCACCAGTTCTGCTGAACGTTGTGGCACTGTGAGGTTGGTGTAAGTGAAAAGGATGCAACCCAAGACTGCAGGTATGAGGGAATTTATAGGAAAGCAGGAAGGGCCATAAACCTACTTTTTTTTTTAGGTGCTCTTGCAGAACTCGGGTGACACAGCAACTCACGAGCAGTTACTTCACAGCTATGATATGCTGATGAATCCCAAGAAGATGGGGGACTGCTTCCACTTTTTTGCCCTGCTGCCGCACCACAGACTTGTACGTCCTGACAAGAAACATAAGCCAGAATCAAAGTCTCCCTTACTGCCTGTTGCTGGATTTGCTGAACTCTCACTGCAGTGATTTCAAATGCTATAGCAAAATGTCTGATAGTAGTAGCTTTCTATAGCAACTTATTAAATTAAAAAAAAAAATTTAAAGGGATGGAGTCCTGCATTTTATGGCTTCACATACTAAACGTTTTGCAATAATGTAATCAGCAGATAGCTGCATACGCTGTAAGGTAAGAACTAAATGTTTTGATTTATCTTTGAACTGAAAGCACATGAAATGTCACATTACTTCCCCAGGCAATTTTCTCACACCAATCTACGCTCCAGGGCCTAGCCACGTTTTGGCAGGGAGTGCTATTTCAGAGTAAATCTGGTGGAGCACACTAAACCTGCTGACTGACCTCCTCGGAGCAGCGGAACTGTAGAAGGTGTAGCAGCAGAGGTGTAGAAATCAAACACTGCACGTACAGAAACCACCATACAGAGAGCAGATAACAAACAGTGTTTCAGGGCTCTTAGGACAGAGCCAAATGAAGTATTTACTAATGGAATCAAGTTAAAAACTTGTCAATAACAAACAGATGTGCTAAGGAGACTTTACATGTGCTCAGCTTCGGTACTTGCTTAAATCACAAGATGCCTTGACATTTTGGAAGATATTTTTATAAAGAGAATGGTGACAGCAGCCATGCAGAAAGAGTTATTAGTTCCCAAGTACCTGCCAACAGAATTCCCAGAGCAGGGCATAGCTAATAAAAAATCCCCAAAGAAGTAAGCAGAAAGAGCCATTTACTTCTCAGAACATTTGACTGGAGAGGTAATTCATCTAAATAAAAAGAACAAGTGTGATAGGGAAATAAATTTTATTTTCAAGCTTATCAGAGGATATTTACAAATAATGGGATGTATAAAAATATAAAAGTACTTGACAGTGTCCTTTTGAGGCTATAAATTTTACAGGAGCTTTTTTCTAGCATCATCATAGCACTATTTCTTGAACAAATGCAACTTAATTCACCTAGGGATAAGAATATTAACCACTGTAACCTACTGCTGTCAAAGTTTGCAGTAAATGTAGAAAAAGGGAATAAAAAACTCAGCTATTTTTACTACTCTGAAGAAAGTTTACTCCTAATGTTATGTCTGATTTTTTTGGTTCCTTGACTATTAGCTGCTTGTGGCTTCTATTGTCTGGGCCCAGAAGTCTGCATACATGGTCAGGCAATCTCCTCCAAAGGCCAACAGCATTATTCTGGGGATTTTTTTTGTTTGTTTTGGTTTTTTTTTTTTTTACAACTTGGAGAATAAATAGCTCATATAGTATTCTGGAGCAGAGCAGACTTCACGGGGAGAGACACCAGCCAGGTCTTCTACTTCACTGTTGTCCCCTCCTTCATCTACTCCTATTGTGCTTTTTCACATGACTGAGCTGGCTTTATTTCCTCCCTTAAACCAACACAAACAAAAAAAAGCAGCCCACAGGAAAACCTGAAGTGACAGCTCAAATATAAAATCTGAAGTTTAAAACCAGACTGTGTCTACGTTATTACAGTTGGGATGGAAGATGGCATTGGCTTCGCTGAAATTTGGTCACTTGAGCAGCGGAAGTTGAAAAAAAAAAAAGGAAAAAAAAAAGAAAAAAGGTACTGCTTCCCTTGCCTGGGCAAACACCAGACTACCAACTTCATAGGTGATTGTTCTGGTTCCAAAGACAAAAAAGAGTGCCTCGCTGAAGAATCGCTCCTAAAACCTGCCATAACAGGAGGGCAAGGTTAAGGGGACAAATTCCGCCCCTTCCAAATTCCTCTGCCCCGACCCCCAGCGTAGGAGCGGCGGGGGCTGCCACCAGGCAAGTCCCCTGCACAGACCTGAGAAAAGCACCTGCTAGGAGGGAGGACGCGTGGTGGTCGGAAGGGCTGAACGGCTCTGCTTGCTGCTGGCTGCAGGGAACTCCACACAGACCGCACCACCCTTTTGTCGAAGGCTTGGTGTATCCTAACGGGGAAGGCAGAGTTCAGCCTTTACCAACTTGGACACCTACAAAACACCGTGGCCGTTAGGTTAAGGGCAGCAGGGAAGGAGAAGGTGGGCTAAAGCCCCAGACCTACCTGTGGGGACACACTTCGGCAACTGCCGCTGACTTTACTGCCAGGTCGCTGCAAGCAGCTGCCAGCCCTGAAATAACCTTGTAAAAATTTACGTGTATAAAACAACTTACAAGAAGTCTGCTCACCTGCTTCCTTACCTGAATAACAAGAGCAGAAAAAAAAAATACCTATCTACAGACACACACACACAAAAAAAAAATCTTTGTAGGAGAAAGAGGAAATACCCCAAAGCCTCTGCCTGACATTGCAGTTCAAGCCTGTATCAGTCTTTTAAAAACTCTTTCCAAGCAAGCCCCAGTTAAGCGGCTCAGCCCATCAGGGATAGGTACAGCCGTTCAGCACCTTCCAGCGGCACAGTGCTGTTAGCCCACACAAACAGAGAGATTTCACCTTTTCCATTTTTTAAAAATGGGACAAAAAAAAAACAAACCTCTTCCATTTGCATTTAGCATTCATGCCCTCAAACTTCTTTGAACTACCATGAACTTTTAACCGTTATGCTGTCCTCGGAGGGAATCATTTCTAAAGCAGGCTGCTGCTTCCTCCCTATCATGCCCCAAGTCCAGCAAGTGGTTGGGAATCCATCAAGTGGGGCATCTGCATGAAAAACTGCATTAGGGGTTGGTTTTGGACTCTTCGTTCCACCCAAACAACAACGCTGAGCAGAGTAAAGAGGAGGGGACGGGCTGCAGGTTAAGGTCAGGAGGCAAAGCCCTCTCTCCTACAGTCCAGCTGCCCTGGCAGAAGCAACAGGTGATTTGATACCCACTGTTACTCCTAAGTTTTGAGCAGAGTTAAGACACGAGCTAGCAGGCTACAAACTACTCCTGATGTCAGTCCAGGGAACCTTAAAAAAATGTAGAAAAGTACTAGAAAAATTTAAAAATCTAATCACTCGCAACAGAAGAAAGCTGCATATATTTTTCCCTATTCTTCCACATCCTTCTGCTAGAAGCTGTTTTTCCAGAGTGAAAGGATATGCTACATCAAGTCTTGTGTGCTCTCTGTGCATTACTTGTGTAGTTTTAAGGCAAAACGCCTTTGGTGTGTATCAAGGACATGTGCCAGCCTTGCACAGCACCACACTGTTGTGGCTTATTGCTCTGTTGTAACAAACAAAAATAGCGTAGCTTTGATTGTCATCTCTTTAGATTGTCAGCCAGCATTTCGAGAGGCATGTAAGAAGTTATGGGCTTTTCTTGGGTTTTGAGTATCTGCAAAAAGTTCAATTAGGGCAAAGACACACGCATTTAACTGTCCTAACATCAGCAAATTATTCCTTCATCTACGGAGCTGTATTCGACCTAAACCACCGTGTTTTGCTATTAGCCAAGGTGTTCTGCACTGATTTCTTTTTACAGTCTCTTTTCACCATGCAGAGTTTAGGAAACGGGAGATGTATCTAAGTAACAGAAAACAGTCCTCTATGGCCTAGTAAATAGGGATTAGAAAACCATTACAAAATTCTTATTGTGTAGGCTATGAAAAAAAAAAAAAACCACACCCAAACCCACCAAACCTTGAAAAACACATGAACCATTCAATCTGTACACATTACACCTCAGTAATGGCTTTGTAGCCACACAGCTTGGTGCAATGTTACCCAACAGGGCTTATCCCACTGTCCAGTAACTACTCATAGTTTAAGTCAGAGCTGGAGAACAGCTTGTCAGACAAAAGTCTATTCCCATGTCAATGCAGGGTCCTCTGGGGCTTTGCACACTGAACTATGTGTGCAGCACTCAAAGAGCAACACTCCTTCCAAAAGTTATCTTCAGTTTCCGTCTGGAGTATCCTGCTTTGCTGCAGTTTAGCACAGTGAATAAATCAAGGGTCTTCTTCCATGTCATCTGGATTAGGAGCCATAATAAAATGCTGGGGGTACTCAAGGTTGTGTTCATAAGCATGTTCTTTCCAGCGTGCATCATCACTCTCGTGGGTGATGTATCGCTCTCCAATGCGCGTTTCAAATTCTCTGAGGTCAAGCCAAGTCTGATAATCCTAAGGAGTAAAAGGGATTTAAGGAAGCAGTTTAAGAAGTGGCAGCACTACATTCTCACAGATAAATTCTGCAGTTTGTCTCTACTTTTAGTAAAAATAGCCACAAGATGTAACCAACAAGATCTGTTAAAAAAAAAAAACAACAAAACAAAACCAACAAACAGCCCTCTCCCCAAAAATACCCCAACTCAGTGTCCACAAAGAATGGTTCAAAAATTAAATAAGCTAGTATCTAAGGTTGTAATACTGTAAATCATGAAAACTTTTTGTAACAAGACAGCTATGTTAGGTTTATTATAAAATTAATGGTATACATACACATACATGAAATCGTACTCTTTCCAATATTGTTTGTACTCAAAATCAATTGGATTTTCCCCTTAACGTCTTTTAGGTTATTTGTGCGCGTGGATATGTGCAAACAGTATTGCGAAACCATTGTGAAAGGAACCCGTGTCAAAGCAGATAAATTCCATTCCAAGCAATTCTATTTTAAAACAACTACAAGTTACAGCACACACCAGCTTGTGCAACCGCTTCGGCACAGAACAAACCAGGTTTTCTCTAGATGATTTCAGTGGGGCTCCATGCACTCATCACCGCCCGCATTCAGGAGAGTAAAACTCTTATGTTGGAGTCAGACAGAAAGTAAGGGGCAGGCGAGACAGTAAGACAAAATTTTCCTTGAGGAAAAAAGCCATTAACAGATGAGCAGGATCCTGGAGCACATAAAATGTACAGCTAAAACCAGAAATATTCACTCCTCCAAGAATGCTTGCTAACAGACTTTGATAGTAGCGGTTGTAATAAGCCTCTGAAGAATTTCATCCCCAAAAAAATCATTATTCACCCATTATAAACATAGTGAAAAAGGCAGATGGATTTACCTGTAACCACGGGTGACTGAGGGATTTGTCAACACTGAAACGTTTTCTCATCTTCACTTGAAGCAAATTGTTTATTAAATCAATGGCTGACAAAGAAGAACAGAACAAAAAATATATTGTTTAAATACTAACCACCTCTATCATCATTCACATCCTGCAGTAAAAGTGAGTGTTTTATGTGTGTGCGTATATCCTACTGAACCCTTTTAAACTTCGTCAAGCTCTTGAATTTTATATTTAGCTTTGCTTACGTTAAAGGAGGCTACAAAACAGGTATGGGGTAATCTTCCCCCCACCTTTGATGGAAACACTAAAAGCTTTACTATATTACTCGTTAATTTTTTCCCCTACTGATTTTAGCGATTTTCAGAAGTGCCTGAATAACTTGAGCATAATCCTGTGCTCCAAAATGATGTAGGTACTTCCACTATCATATACTTTTGTATATGTCCTTCCACATCCACCTGCATGTAAATCAGATGGACATTACTAATAACAAAGCTGGCACTGGAGGGCCCTACAGACCAACCTTGTAAACTTCTAGATTGTTCAGACCTGACATTTAGACCCAGGTTTTTTTTCACTTGCTAATGTATGAAACTAAAATTCCAGATGCAACTTAGAACCATTTCTGTAATTACAGTTTAGATAAAGGATGTTTTGAGATCAGTGGTCAGCAAATACTCACACATTATTTAACTTTTCTTTAGGAATTTGGGGAAGTTTCAGGTTATTCATCCCACTCCTCATGCATGCAATTAGTTTTTCTTGCTAAATCTCTTGGCTCCTCCTGCCCTGAAAATTATCTAACACACTGTATTTGACAATTTATCTTTCACAAATATATGCCAGCTCATATTTATCCATTTTGGCGTAGTCTACTAAACTCAAACTATCAATAATTCTCACACTCCTACCTGAATGTATCTTGAGGTTTAAGCATTTGAATGCATTATCTACATATAAAGACATTCTCATAGAGAAAGTTGATTTCTTTACCTTCACTAGAGATCTCCTTCCAAGGATTTGGTGGGTACATAAATGCTGCATTTTGAATCTGATCATTTATATCCTCATCTTCATTAAACGGGAATGTACCACTAAGGCTCACATAGACAATTACTCCGACCGACCACATGTCTAGCGAGCGGTTGTAACCTTTACTCCTGAGCACTTCAGGGGCAAGATAAGCAGGTGTCCCCACCACAGAGCGCCTGAAAGACTTTTCACCAATGATACGTGCAAAGCCAAAGTCACACAGCTTCACCTGCAAAAGAAATGTTGTAAACTGAGAAATCTCTGCTTCATCTCCAAAGCACGCTCCTGCCCAAGACCAGAGTGGTACTTGATACCCTTTCTGCCTTCATTTAAACGTTGTATGCACTAAAACAGAGACAAAAGATTACATAAGCCAGTCAGTTAAGGTTTCAGGTTGCTGGTTTTGCAGACTGCGGATCAACCATGCTTCAGACCGAGACCTGAACCAGCCTTGCAGACTCAGGTCTGAGGCAGGGTGTGTAGTACATGGCCACAAGTGTGCAAACAAGGACAAAAAACTTGATTCCAAACTCGGCTCATTTTCAGAGGCAAATCCACATCCTTGCAAGGCACAGAAACAAAATTTTAAAAGCACAGGAGTCCCAGCCAGATCACATTCCTCTTAATCATATTTCTGAAGCTGGAGGCTTCAGCTACACGGCAATCAAACGATAAGTTTTAGCCAGAACTCAGATCCAGCCAGCTCTGGACAGAACAGTCCGATCATCATCCAGGTAAAAACTATCAACAGCTGGTGCTGCACTGATCCTCAAATCTTCATGGCTCTGGGATGGTTCCTTAACCTAAACACAGCAGGCACTTGTACAGATAAAAGGATCCAGGTCAAGTCCAACGCTAACCCCAAGTTAATCAGCCCTCCTCAGGCTATAGGAGCAAGCAAGGCACTGAAGGTATACAAGTGACTCTCCAGAAGTGCACTCCGCTTTGCATTAACGTCACAGCACTGGAAGCAATTCCCTGACGGTGCCTAGCAGCTTTTACTTTCCGTCTATCCTCCACAAAATCCATACTGTCCAAGGTATCTAAGGTAATAGTTGACTGGGGTAATTGCTGACAGTACCTAAATACTACTATCGCTGACCAGCATTTCTGTTAGAGAGATCAGCTATTTAGTGTATTTTAGTTGAGGGGAAAGAAACTGAAAGAGACCACTGAGCATAAAGCTAGGCTAAGAGCTGGAAGAAGAAGAAGAAAAAAAAAAGAAAAAAAGAGACAACTATAATATATCCAAGGTATCTAAGGTAATAGTTGACTGGGGTAATTGCTGACAGTACCTAAATACTACTATCGCTGACCAGCATTTCTGTTACAGAGATCAGCTATTTAGTTTATTTAGTTGAGCGGAAAGAAACTGAAAGAGACCACTGAGCATAAAGCTAGGCTAAGAGCTGGAAGAAGAAGAAAAAAAAAAAAAAGAAAAAAAAGAGACAACTATAATATATGCAGCTCAAGTAATTCTAGACTAAGCCAGCTGAACAATTCCACAAGAGGTCACTTTCTAAGCTGCAATGCCTATATGTCTTTAAAAAAAGAACAATGAAAAGTGATGAAAGTAGTATTTTTTTCATCTTCACTCACTTGAGGGAATGGCTCTGCTGATGCTAGTAGTACATTTTCTGGTTTTAAATCACAGTGCACAATATTCTTGAAGTGTAAATTCCTCAAAGCAACAAGTATCTACAAAAAGGAAAGAACATTTTCAGAACTATTCAAGCAGATAAGAAGTGTCAAAAGCCACACACACTAACCAGTGCAGTAATTTGTATCAACAGAGTCTCCAAGAACTAACCCGTATATACTGTGCAAGTACTATTTTTTCCAGCCTATCAAGACTTGCAACTGAGGGGGCTTATTTTCCTCTTTTTTTTTTTTCCTTCCCCTCCTCCCTCTCTGTCTTTTTGAGTGCTTACTGTTTTCACATGCATCTTTGGATGTCCATAATGTTATGTCTTGGGAAAGAAGGGCAAAAAAATTAACATAATTAACATTAAAAATTCCTTCCATGTTTATTCAACTTTCATTAGATGTGCAGCCCTCTGTGCTGTCTCTTTTAAATAAGAATACAGAAAACCACTTCTCCAAACTCCATTCTCACAAAATTACAAAAGACAAATCTAGCCTTTCCTCTCAAAGCAGAAAGACTGAATGCCAACCTGAGTGACCATGAACTTAGTTATTCGTTCTGGAAGTCGACTTTTCTCACTGGAAAGAATCATCTCTAGCATATCCCCATGCAGCTTTTCCATCACGACAAAGACCCGTTCTGGGGTTTCAAACATACATTCCAGGTTCACAATCCCAGGGTGGTGCAAGTTCTAAAAGAAAGTAGTATAGGTACATCACTAAAATAAAACAGTATGAAACATCCTGAATTACACAGAAGTGTTGTACCACAAATTAAGAAGTAGTTAAGTGGAGAGTCAGAGATGAAAAAACAAAATGTCTGAGGCAAGAAACTAGCTTGAAACAAACATCAACCCATGAAACGTGCCAATTACCACTACTAAGACTAATTTGTTTTAACACCAATTACCCGTAATGATTCATTTTACAGTTGATACACTCAGTAGCCTGAGTACAGAACATGCAAGGATAACATTCATAGACTGAGAAGCCAGTAGTGAAAGACAGCAAAAAAAAAAAAATAATACAGTTTCCTGCTACCTGAGGGAGACAATATGGAGCCAAAGTACACGTCTTCAGTGGATCCCCTATAGGGACTAGATACCACCCCCAAGTTATCAACTCTACCAAATACTCAGGAATTCCTGCTCTTCTAAGATTCTCTCTTACAAAGAGACTCAGAAATCGCATATGCAGATTCAGAAATCAATTCAGAGCACTTACACATATTACAAAATCTCATTAATGGCTTATTTGAGACAAAACTCCAATGTGATCCAAAACCACTTTTGTACCTGGAGAATGGCTACTTCATTACGAAGCTGACTCTCCTGTTTAGTTGGAAACCTCATCTTGTCAATGACTTTGATAGCCACATCTCTTCCAGTCTTCCTATGTTTTCCTAAACAGAAAGTCAATGTCAGCCATCAAGAGGCAGAAGCAATTCATAGCTATAAAACATTACAGCAGAAATTCCTTTTTGGGGAAACAAGTATATTCTGTACAAGTGTACAATATTACTTTATTTATATTTATAATTGCAACTGGTATATGAGTAACAAGAAGTGATCAGCCTCAACAGGAGTGCTGCAGATAAATTTCAGCTAGTTACTACTCTGCTGTCAGGTACGCACATTGACATCAGATGTATTAGGTGAAGTTTTTGCCTGTGCAAAGGACTTGCACATGAGCAAGTAATACCTACTCCCACAGAACACTGCCTCTCTTCTGTAAAAAAACAACAAAACCATTGAAGATCAATATGAAGACAGATCTACAAGTCTTCTCCAGTGGTTTCATACTTTCACAGGCTCCACATGCACAGGAAATTATATACCTAATATTCTACAGGAACGTGACAGTAACTACATGCCATGAAGAACAACACGTTAACACCCAGGGGCAGTCTGCTGCGATCAAAAAGTTCTAAGAGATTGTGGTAAAACACCATGCTGATAGCACCAAGTACTATTCCTTGCTGCAGCCTGCACCAGCTACATGAGAAGCACTCTGCAATACGCAGATCGGATGTTTCAAGGGCTGTACATGCTTACCCAGCTTCTCCACAACTCCTCAACTGACTTCTATCACGTTCACATCAGACAGGTTAATGGGATCACACACTGCAAGACCTTAATAATCTAAGACATTCAATACTAAACTAATTTGGAACAATAAGTCTGCACCCAAGGAAAAAAAAGTCATTATCTGCTCCGTGAAGGGTTTGGAAGCCGTTTTAGGAAAAGGGACGACACACAGAGCTACAGCGCAAGGGACACGGAGGGCTTGCCCCCTGCACAGCTACGCCTTGCTAAACCCCCAGCCAGGCCTCCCCTGCTGCTCTGCAGGCAGCACTGGTGGCCAGGGTTTAGGCAGGGCTTAGGCAGGGCTTAGGTAGGGCTGCTCCAAAGGCTGCCGTCCTCAGCAGCTAACGCACCTGCCTTAAACATCAGCATGAATAAAGGGTCAAAACCAGGCTTGTCTCCACCGGACGATGTAAGGCAGTTAATGGAGACATCCCTCAAGGTCCGAAAGGGTTTACAAGGTTACCAAATAGAACTAACCATTGGAGAGCAAAAAATACATTTTAAAAAGATTACATTAGTTCTAAGGAAAGCATACGCTGTCACAGGCAACAGCATCAAGGCAGAAGTCTCGAAAGAGAGATCTGGGGAGTTTTGTCATTTTGTCTGGAACAATCAGCAACTTTTAGGCAAAAATACTAGAAATCACAGCACCCAGCTACAATTTAAGTAAAAAGCTTAGATTCAGGGAGAATTACTCTGGCTCCACTAGACACCAAATTATGTTGAAATATAGCAGAAATACCATCAATTACAAACTAGTTGCAAAATGCAGAAGACAAATGCTAGGTTGCAAGAGAACAAAAAAAGCAAAATCACCAGACTAACACCACACGTAACTACAGAAGCTAGACTAGAGCTAAGAATTGAACATGAAGAAAGATTAACAGAAAAGCAGCTTGAAAATTCCTTTTCCTAAGTAAAACACAACCAACCAGGTTTCAGTGCAAGTTTTACATCAGTAAGAAACTATCAAGAATTTTTTTTTTCCGTCTCCATTTTTCAGGCCCTTCAAAACTAACCAAAATAGGAAAAGCGGAGGGAAACTGTTCTCACTGAAAGAAACAGCAGGTGGATATCAATATCCCGTAACTTCTTGATTTACAATTTGTAAATGTCTGTTGAGAATAGAGGACAACCAAAAAAAAAAAAAAATCCAAAAAACCAAACCCTGCAACAACAGAAGCAATTTAATTTTATCTTTATTTGTTTACATAAAAGGCTTAGTTACCATTATTTCAGTAAGCCTACACAAGGGGGGGAGAAGCCAATATTTGAAGTTACCAGATCTAGTCTCCCCAAACACCAGCAACAATTAAGGAGTGTGCAGAGCCAGCAAAAGAATACTCTTTTATATTCTCTCTTCTTCCTCTTTCAACTTGTGATTTTATCTTAAGAAACTGAGTATGCATCTCCTATATATTTTAAGGTATCATTAAGTGAAACCTTTTATAAGTATTTATTATGTTTATAAGCATTTATAAGCTTTGAATCATGCAAAATACCAAGGTGAGATTTATCTAAAAGGCAATTTAGGAGAGTATATATAGAAATAAAATCAAAATGTTAAAATACTGTCTGCATTTGTGCATGTTCTGTTCGTAGGTGAGGGAGCACACTTTGATTCACCCTATGTTTTAAGAAACACAGAGGAGGGAAAAAATAGACCTCTCTCTCGAGTGATGTAAAACCAGACCGTGAAACAGCATTTCCACCAAGCAGTTCAGAAGTAAGAGAGAAAAGTATTTAACTACACAATTGGCACACAGAAAAATCATAGCCACAATATTTCCTGACTAGAAAGACATGACAGAAGCAGAAAGGTTACCACTTTTAAATCATTAGTTATCACTTTTTCTTTCTTTCCAGATTTATGGTCTGTGGTTTTCTCAATACTTGAGATATAACACACGGGATAAAAAAAAAAAAGAATAGAAAGAAACAGAGTTCATATGATGCATTTCTAGTATTTCTTCTTTTTGTGATTACATACTATAAACAAGTTATATGTTGCAACAGAAGTTTTTAAAGCCTAGAAGTGATAAAACTACATTTGAAACCTAAAACTGAGACCTCTTGACAAAGAATTCCTCCTATTTTACCATGCTGACAGAAATTTGTAATGAAACTGCATAAAATATGTCAATAACGTGTTTGCATAAATACTGTCAAACCATAAACTATGTATTTTTCTAATTGCTTTCGGCCACATCTGTCAGATATCATCAAAAACAGGTATAACTGACAGCCTCCCTAAATACATGACTTCTAATACTGTATAATACAGTGTTAGAATTTGCAATTAAAAACCCCCAAATCATTAACCAAGGCTAAATTCAGACTAGAGATTGCTTTGATTTCAATTGTGGTCAAAATGCAATGCATATTCTAAACCAATTTTGATGCCAATGCAAAACTCTAAATGCAAAAAATAAATTATAAGAAATATTTTACATAAAACTGCAGAGAGACACAGTAAAGTAATCCAAACAAAACTTTTAACAAGATAAACTTCACCTAGACATTCTAGATCCAGCTAAGTAAATATGAAAAGGCTAATTATATCAAGCAGACAGACATTCTACCTTAATAAATGCATAATGGAATGGAATTTACCTCCATATACAATACCAAACTGACCAGAACCCAGCACTTCATCAGCAAATATTTGGTACACAGAGCTGATATCCTAATGTGTGGGGAAAAAAAAAAAAATCAATCACAAATATCAGGAGTAATCAAAATATTCACCAGCATATTGGTTCGTAAGCACCTAAGCTGTATCTACATGGGACCTTAATCAAACTCTGTCACGGGTGCCATCATTTCCCTGAAGGGAGGGGAAGAACACAACAGACTTGTCCTGAAGAGGATCCACTTCGCTGCACTGTCACAGCAGGGACACACATTCATGGTCAAACAAACCACGCGCGGTGCCAGGCAAGTGGATTACTTCCTGGACATCATTCCACAGACTTCTTTAGCTACAACACCTTGGTGTTGCTTTCTCATCCAGACAATGTTACCACCAATTATTTTGTAATACCCAGGTAAACAAACACCATTATTATACAGTGCACATGACTCACCACGTTCTCCTGGACCTGGCAGTTTGAAACAGAGATGCTTAGAGATAACTCTTCTGCAATAAAGAAGATACAACTGAGTAAGTAAACAGCAAGGGCAGGCTTTTTCTAGTAAAAAGGGGAAAAAAAAAAACAAACCCCAAAACAGAATAAAAAAGCTTTAACTGACTTCTAACCCAGTCATGGTGAACTATCTTTATTGATGTTCTCCAGAAACATCACACCCTAGACCTCCAATTTCACAGACTGATTAGATAAACAACCCTGGGAGTTTTGCTGAGATTATTTGTCTGGTTTTATCATATCGCTGATTAGAAAAACAATAGAACAGTATAAGTGTGCATACAACAGAGAGCTGGAGAACCAAAAGCAATAGTGATGTGGCAATTGTATCAGGGTTCATCAAACTACTACGAATTTCTGGTAGTAATATAGAAAAATACATGCAAGAGGACCAGGTAGATCCCTTACAGTCAAATGAATGTGGTTAACTAATTTTCTGTGGAATCAAGATATACAGAATTAATGCATAAGAAAAGGAAATACATCAAGCAAAGTAAGTAATAGAAGACCTGAGAATTTAAAAAGCAATAAAACCCATAATACAAACAATCTTTGTTTCATGGATGAACTACAGAAGCATAACAAACCTTGGAATATAAGAGCACATCTAGAAAGTGTAATATGCAAGTAAAAGCACCAGATAAAGATACAGGGTTTTTCAGCTGGTAGCAGATGTTCACACCAAGTTTTCACTACGGGAGTAACGTTACGATGCACGGGCAAGAAGAGATACATCCAGGAAGGCAGAAAACACCCTCTTCCTTGGACTTCCAAGACAGAAGTGAAGCGCTTCAGACAAACGGACACCTATCATTTGCTATGTTAACTTCCAAAGGCAGAACGAATTCATCTATGAGGTGGACAGTAGATACACTACAGATTTACTAGCACTTCAAAAAGAGACTTTATCACCTTAAGAGCCTTGAGCTTTAAAAATACAATTCCAGAGAACAAAGAAAATGTCCATATCTGATTTTTGCCACCTGTGCTTTATCTTAAAGAAGGAATTTACCGACTTAAGATAGCAACAAATACTAGTTCTCAAAGACATTTGAATACTGCATCTGAACTAAGAACTGGAATTACAGCCTTGCATATGTCTACTGATTACTGACTACAGTCAAATCTGTATTGGAATAACAGTACAGAACACAAGGAAAAAGCAGCAAGGTGGCAGACAAAAAAGTCACTAAGGCCAACACAAACTGCAGCAAGGTTGAAACAAAGGACCTAGAACGGGAAGATGCAGTTTTTGAAACTGTTTAAAAAGAACTCATTGAACCCTTCTCCACGGATGGCTACAGAATACAAAATACCTGGTAGGTAGAGATTGAGTTACTGCTTCCAAATAAAACCATTTTTCTAGTATCTGAAATGCACGAGACTAAGGACTGAAAAATAGTCACTTCTGAAGAAGTCAGTCATGCCAGGATTCAATATGTAATCTATACCAGGGAACAGCTTCCTAAGTTTCTCTTTCTTATTTCAGCTCAGAAACATCCCACCCCAACCAGCAGGCTCAAGGTCAGAAAGGACTCCTTCCCGTGGGTTAGTCTAGAAGAGCATCCTCATTTCTAGCTACTTTCTGGCCACCACACAGTATAAAATGACTAGTGTCTTGTGAACATTTTGACACCACAAATTCCCTGTTGCTGCAAGTATTTCAAGCACTAGCAATGTCTCCCTCCTCTTTTCATCTTTTCATTTAAAAGAACATATTTGAGGCTTTTGGGGTTTTGTTTTTTTAACTAAAAGTATAATTTTCTTACAGGCTCTTGGGATACATTTCATGGCTCACAATGTGTAGGAAGAAGAGGGAAGAACGGACATTTTGTGGGTTTTTTAGAGTTTAAAACCAACCTGAGTTGTTTAAGAATATGCGAATGCCACTGCACAACTCGTGGTAGTTTCTTACACACCTACAATCCTAAACATGCTCATATACTTCCCGTCTGTATCTACCCCTGTCATTCTGTTCCCTACTACTGTCAAGTGTTGATATAAAAATGTTACTATTTACATCTGAAAAAATACTGATTTTGGAAAAAGCAACTGTCTTTGCAAGTCTCTCACCAATAGTAGGCCTTAGGTTCTAGAAAACAAAGAGAGCTTTGGGGTGTGTGTATATACATATATATATATATTTGGAACTAAGAATTTTGTATCAAAAGTGGTACTTTACGTATGTACAAGGCCAGTTATGAGGTACCATCTTACAGGTATGTTTCTTCACTGTAATTAAACACAGATACCAGTACTGGCATCTCATAGTTTACCATTTCAGACCATAGTTGCATTTTCAGAAAGTGCCTTTACCTCAGACTGGCATTTACACGTTCTTAACTGTTGCTGATGCAGAATAGTCAGATATCAGAGACAGAGAAACTAATCTCAGAATCTCCTGCAAAAGAAAATTTCACTACAGGAAGATTAAGGAGTAACTGGAAGATGAAACTAAAGAATGAAAGCATAAATCTCAGTACAGAATGTGAGTTAATGTCATTGCAAGGAACAAGATATCTGAAGAGAAGGAACACAGTATATAGTTTAGTGGAGCCTTGATAATGATTATGATCATATGCCAGAGAAAGAAAGGGAGAGCAGGTGCACAAAAAGAAGAATAGGGTACTTTTTGCCCAGCCAAAGTTTTCTCTATCACTGGCCGTATTTACATTGCATCACTAACTCCTTCTCTTCTCCTTAGCTACTGACTTCTCACGTTTAAAAAAATATATATATAGGAGATAACATCAAAAAGCATCCAAATTTAGTTCTTTCAGAGCCTGTGTATATAATCTGAACATATTTATTAAAGTATATTAGAAACAGCAAAATTATGGTCCCTTTTTACATGCAGCAACTTTGCGCAAGTTCTCAATGCTCCTACAATGAAGCTCTGCAATATGCATTCATATTGTAAATCTGATCCTTAACTACTACTTCCCACTACAACAGATTAAAGGATTTGCCCACCCTCCACAAACCTGAGTGTCACTTTTTAGAGACTTGTGGAAAATTACAGACCCAATTCAGCAGAGAACAGACAGACAATACTTCACTCTAAATAAGCACTGTTCTGAAAGGATTCTCTACCATTAACAGCTTCAGAATATGAATAATAGTGCCTTGTCTGCCTGCTTACTGTGATCTTTTCCTTGTCCTGCTGCAGTGCAAACGCTAGCTTGAGGAGTGACTGGCATCAAAGCCTGACGAATGGCTTTCTCCCAGCCCTGCGCTACGTCAAGTCCAACTCCGGTGGCAGCAAGAACAGGACTGTGATGACTGCTGCCATTGTTTTCGCCAACAAAGTACACCATCGTGTCAGTGATGATCTCAAAACAGTATGGGTTGCTGCCCTGCACCACGTTTGAAAAATCTCGAGGCTGAGTCACCTGGAGAATTTCTGAAAGTGGAATCTCCTGAAGAAAAATATTAAAGATTAAAAAATGAAAAGGGATATAATATTTTTATATACTCAAAGTGTTTGCAAAGAAATCAAAGCAAAGATATCAAAATATCAAAACCAAAATACCAAGCTTTGTGACTAACATCAAACTGTGCACAACCACTGCCCACCCACAGTTTGCTGTATTCCTCTATACAAGCCTAGAGAGACTTCCAGCCCCACCACAGTTCTCTCTCTACAACTACTACGTTCTGCTCAGACAAACCGTGCGTACATTCAGCATGAGACCCGCCCCCACCGCATACAACTGATGCGCAGCGATGCCCATTTCCCCCCTGTAGTTTATACAGCTTAGCTAGAGAAGAACATGACAGCGGAAAAAAATGAAACAAGACAACATTAGGAAGAGGTAGTGGTCACATAAGCCAGGCGATAAGCACTGCTTCATGTATCTGAATCGTTTTGGGTAAAGATTCTCTTTCATACAGGCATTAACAACTTCTGCTGACTCCTCTACCTTGTCAGTTTGAGATCATGGTAGAAGCAGTACTAAAGAACAGATCTGAAGGAAGAAATGGTTGCAAGTTCACACTCGCTGGAGGAGGACATTCCACATACATGGGAAGGTGTACAGGTGCACATCACTTGCAAGAGTAGTGAACAAGCAGGTGAACCCCAGGCTGGCATTAGGGGGTAAGAAACAGTAGCTACGATGCAGAGCAACTCAACATAAAGGCAAAAACTGTGAATTATTCTAACAGCAAAGACAACCTGACATTTAAGCAGTTAAAAAAAGGGATGCAAAGGGGCAAGTCAAAGGACTAAAAGCAGTGACATAACGGAGCAACAAGCAAGGAACATATTTTACCAGCTGTGTTTTGAATGCACAGGGCAATACAAGTATCAGAGAGGTCTGAGAAGAGACTGCATTGGTCAAGATAGGGATGAAAAGGATCTGGGCAAGCTTAGCTGGGTGTACAGAGAAAAGGCTTGATCTTAGAGATGTTATAAAGGAAGAAGCTGCAAGATTTGGACCCCCACCTAAAGGTGTAAGACAAGAAAGGGAAAAATCCTGTTTATACATTCAAACACATTTTCTGAATATTCCACTATTGAACACATTACTGTATTAACAATATACTAAACTTACTGCTAAGCTTCATTTATATAATGCCAGGCTGCACAGTAAATTTTCTTCTAAATCTGGCTTGCAACTTTCAGTTGTACAGTTGGAACAATTTAATTTTGGGAACCTCAAAATAAAATATATAAGCATGCAAACTTTCAGTCACTATTTACAGAATGCAAAAATCTTAGCCTTCATTAGACTGGCAGCCAAACAAATTCTCTGGTAATTGTGAGGACAGCTTAATATGCTAGGTAATTCAGGAGAACAGTACATGTAGAATGTAAGGAGAGACATACTCGAGGGGATTAGAACAGGAGCTGCAAGCAATTTCTTGGAGTTAGTCTTGGTCCTTCTCACTTACAAGCTTTGGCTAACAGTTACCCTGGTCGCAGCTTTGATTTAAAAAGATGGGGAAATGGAGATAATACTTATACTTCTCACAAGTAAATTTCAGATCTACAAAGCACTGAGTAAATCAAGTGCAACACAATTACTACTCGTCATTAATTACCTTGTAATACTTTGTTCCAGATTCATTTTGAAATAGCGTGAGGCATTTGCTGTCCAGTCTCCAGTAATGTCTTTTTCTCTGCAAAATGCACAATACAATAACATAAAGAATAAATCACTGGTATAGCTTTTGTTACCCGATTATTTAAATGAGAAATGCTTTTAATTATTAAGATAATCAAGTAATGTTAATCTACAGTTGCATCTTAGACTAGATACATGAAAAACTATACTTTGAGAGTAAAAATTTTTTTTAACTCAAGAAGAGGCTCAAAAATTATTTCCACAAACCAAAAAAAAATATCACCTACCTCACTGTAACAGCAGTGACAACAGCAGCTATCTCGTACAGGAGAAAAACTTATTTACACAGGTTGCACTCCAGGTGCATGTGCTCACAAAACCTGAATTATTTTAATTTAGTAACAATTGTGAAAGTCATGCTTTCTCCCTCTGTGCCCTCACACCAACACTGCAAGGATTCAAGGACGGAGCAAGCCTAACAAGTCCTTAATTCTTTTGTCAACACAGAATTCTAGCAGGTCAAAAGCACATAGTGGCAAGACAGACAAAATTATGAGAATCAAATGGACAAATATCTTGGCTGGGGCAGATATCAAGACAGACCAAACAGCCATTTTCTGGAAATCTCCATCAATGAGAAGTATCTTCTCCATCAAAAAGTAATATGAATAAGCTGTTGCACATAACTGTCTTGTAATTTTAAGCAGAAGAGCATTCCTCAAAACAAAGAAGCTTTTAGAAGGTTAATACGGCTGTATGAATCTAACTTACTTTGCTTGCACCATGCTCATGTAGTTAGAAACCCATTTTCATTTTTCTTTAACAAAAATCCAAGACCCTTAACTCTGGCCTAGGGTGACAAAGTTTGAAACGCAACACAGCAGAGCTTAAATCACTTCAATCATGGAGAAGCTTAGGCTACCTGTAGGAGTAAGACCAAGAAAGCTAGGTCATGAATGGATTTAACTAAATGGAATTCCCAGCCGGCACTGAATGGAAACTGGGTGAAAGCATAAGGATGAACCTGTCCTTTGGACATATATTCTCCTATTAACTCATAATTCAGGGAAGACTTTGGAGGGAGGGAATCAAGGAACAGGTTGGTAACTCACTCAGCGATTCAAAGTCTGCCCATACCCTATTCTGAGAAAGTGATGGGCTCAACATGAGGAAAAGAATACAGACGATGATATAGAAACTTCTCATTACAAAGGGTGAAACACCTTGTTACCCAGGATCAGCAAGAAGCATACAGATACTGCTGTTAAAATGAACCTCTCTGGAATTGACAGAAAGCCCAAGTTGTTTCAGGAACAGTAAATAGTCTGACATTGCTGAGAACAGAGCGCTCAAGGGAAAGAGTTGATGCTGTAATGCCTAACAGGAAGCTCTAGGAGATCTTGCCTGGCTGAAGGTATCTTGCTTTGGGGCAGAATACTCCACTTCATGTGAATGGCCTTTTTCAGTAGATGTCATCTAAGTAGCAGCCAGACTGACAGATGAAGAAAAATCAAACTAACCTAAGGTGCACAATCTGATCACTGTACTATAAGGAGGTTCAAAAAAGTCCATAGAAAAATGTACTGGCTGTACTGAAAGATTAAATCAGAGTCAAATACCAAGTCTGCCCTGAACAGTTCTGCTAGAACTACCCATCTTCATCTGCTACCTGGCCTTAGTTTTTCCATAGCCAACTGGAGATAGCTGTGTCTGTTAAGTAGTCTTGGCTGGAATCTCATCTGAAGTATGCTAGATGCTTATTTTGGTTTGTGACAAACACATCTAGGTATTAGGAAACTGTATAAAATACATGTTTTGTAAGGCAGTTTCTGACAGACCACTTGCAGTGGGCTGTTTAGTTGACAAATCGCAAGAAGTAAAACTACTACAGTAATCTGAGCTGACTAGTATCACACCTCAGCTTGATTTCAGCAGAACTTAAACAATTTTGCTTCTCTAAATTCCTATGTAGAGACAAAGAATGCAAAAGTATTTATGCTGCCTTTCACGAACAGTCTCAATATGACACACTGTGCTTCACAAGATCTGGGAACTTCTTGACTTTATCCTTTTGATTCACCTACCAAAAGACAAGAGGATTTGCTCCCTCCCATCAGACAACTCTAAGGAACGCAGTTATTCGTCCTTACCTTCCTCCTCAATACACAAAACCAAGGAGCTTGCCTAAGAAGGTTCAATTAAGAGATCGTTATTGGTAGCACTGGAAACAAACAACGTAGTCTTTTTGGAGGACATACAGTCAAGTCACAACTCTTTATTCCACTAACATCAAGAGGAACACTGAGTTTGTAGGAGATGGTGTTCAATAATGCTTACTTTTAGATAAAGTGAATTGCTAGAGGAAAGAAGGGGACCCATATCTACACATATTTACAGACACCTAGATCATTAGAATAACAGTGTCAACCATTGCAGCACTCATTGTTTTATAATGATTTCCACTTTTTCATGTAGTAGAATAAACACACTGATATCTAGTTCAATTGCTAATCAGAAAGAAGACATAAGCAAATTATTCCAAATTATTATCTCAGGAAAGCTGAAATCTTAAACATACAACTCATTTGAGAATTTAGAGATGCTTCTCCTTCTTAAAAGGAAGGAGAAGGAAAAGTACTGTTGAATCACCACATGAAGAATTTTGAATAAACTACAGTTTCTCCTTCGCATCAAATTTCTTTATAATGAACATCATGGCTAAGTTCTTTCAAATGATACTGTAAATCAGAGTATCTAAATAAAAGAAATAAAATACACTGGTTTAGAGAAATAATTTAACTTAATGTAGGAAGAAACTAAAGTCACTGACCAGATTGTCTCTACTAGTATAGTGGACCATCCATCCCTCCTTCACCATTGTACTGCTCTTCCTCTTTGTGTGCTTGATCGACTGTACAACTCTCATGAGAGGAATATTATTGCTTGTTGAAGGACTACAAAAAGATAGAACAGTTAATATTTAACAAGCTAAAATACAACAGTACTGCAATTATACTGGTACTACACATTTAGCCCACAATTTTCAGGAACAGGCACCTTTTCTTCCCATACAAATTCCATTGATAGATGAAATTGGTAAGGTATCTGAGCTCCCACTAGCTCTCCTAGTGCAAGTATTGCAGTACTTAAATTACTCTGTGGAACACAGCAGAAACACACTGGAACGAGGACACCTACAGAAATCATCCTCTCTCAAAACAATGACCTGACACTGCTGCTTAATCCAGCATAAAGATATAATTAACATTAGCATCGCTATTATTTTCTCTTGTCTGTGTAAGCTGACTATGCTACTTCTTCATATTGTTACTACACTAATGAAGGTCCCTAGCTAAGCATACTTTCAATTTCTGAAAATATAAACAGAGGTGTGTTAATTCAAATCCCAGCTGCACTTGAAAATTTTATCAATGCTGTCCTGCAGAGAAGGATTTGACAATCTCTAATATTCTGACAGTCATTAATTGAATCTACAGGTTTCAATAGCACTGAAGGAGGAGTCAATCACTACGTTGTCTGCTTAACACCAGAGCTCCTACGTGTGGCACTAACAAACGTTTGTAAACTTACGATATCACAAGGTAGACTCAAAACCAAAAATGTAAAGATGTTTTAACACAGCACACAGTTGCACTGTAGAATTGGCTGCTACAGGATGCTGCACATGCCAAAAACTTTAATTGCTTCGAATCCAATTAGAAATAAATGGAAAAATTCTGCCTAGGGGTGGAACACAAAAAAAGACGCTACGTCCAACTCAGGAAGTCCTTCAGCTATAAATCACTGAAGGTTGGGAAGGTATCACTATATGCTTTTCTTCACATATTTGCTATTAAGCCCTGAGCTAAAATTACCTTTAGTTTGACCTAATACAACTGCTCTTATGTGATTAAGAATGACTTCAGAAAATCAGGATGACACTATTCAGAATAATACAGAAAGTAAAAAGGCCAAACTTGGTTAAAGGAACTATGCAACAGTTACCAGACAGAAGACTTCAGAAAAATCACATTCAAGATAAATAAAGCAAACTTCTGCCTAAACTGCATATAGACTACGATGTGAATATTAAAACATCTTCAGTAATTCCTTTTAAATAAACATGTGTATAACAGTAGCTAAATTAGGCTAAAGTCACAGAGACCTTAGTCATCTCTTAGCCATGTTAAGCCATAAATTTTACCATGTTTTGATAATGTGGTTTTATTTCTTTGATAACAGTCATAGCACAGCACTTTTTCCAATTAGAAGAGACTGTATTAATTTATTTATGTTTCAGATTTTCTTGAGACAGGATAACTTTACAAAGCATTTTCAAGTTAAAAAAAACAAACCACAAATTAAAAAACAACACTTTAAGCAGTAAAACTGGGCTAATCAGAGAAGTTTTACTCACTATATTGAGGAAAGTACATCCAAAGCAAAGAAATCCACCTTATGACTTACCTGATGGTTTTGACAGCTTCCTCATCTTTGTCCGCATCAAGGTCAGAGGGATCCATAAAGAAGATTTTGTCCTCTGGAGGAGAGGGCTCTTCAGCATCATCTAGACCTCGACTACCATCACTGTTCATTTCACTGCTATCAACTTCCATTGGCATGTCCAAGTCCTGGCCTGGGCTAGCAGGTTCTGGAAACAACACAGGATGCAGATATAATTTCAAATACACAATTAAAAAAAAAAAAAAAAAAAACAAAGAAAACCCAAAACCCCACAAAATTTCTTCTTCAGTGCACATTTATGCAAGTAAACACAGAAGTACAATCAGAATACACAAAATCCTCAAGTTTTTGCTAAATGATGCAGAGTATGCTAACGAACATTATCAATTTGGTTTTGCAAAATGCCAAGGCAAGAGAGACTCAACTAAAACAAGAATCATATTGAAAGAAACAGAGTGAAAAGCTTAAGGTCTAAACCTAAATCTCATTAAGTAATTCTGTTCCACAGGTAATCAGTACAAAGCAACCTTTCGATGGCTAGAGATGACCCAGAGAATTACTCCTATGCAAATGAAATTCTCCATCAACAGAAACCCAACTCTGTTCTCACTGCCCTTGCCCTTATTTCTGCATAATAGCAAAAGTAAGAGAGAAGGGGGGGGCTGTGGTATTGCAGGAAAAGAGAAAAGCAGAACAGATGTTATTCACATCTGACTCTGCTGGCAGAAGTTTAAAGTTTCCAAAAGCTGTACAACTTGCACTGTGGAAAACTAAGAATTAAGACATACAAATACCTTCATCTGTAGCCCTTTTTTTTTTTTTTCCCCCTCTTGGTCTGAGAAGAGCTCAATTTAAGGGTGGGAGAAAGAACAAAAAAAAAATAAATGACTACTTATGTCCACAGAAGAATTCTATGAAATTGTAGTTCCCAACCTATGGGCCCTAGCACCTTAGCATCACAAGGGTAGTGAAAGCAGGCTGCAGCAACACATTGCACACTATTGTTCATGGCCATCAATCTCAAGACTTGGGCAAGAGTCTTGGAGCTGGAGAAGGCAGGCACAAACGGATAGGATATACTGTGCAATGGCAACAGACACACTGGCTACCAGGGCTGCTTGTCCAGGCCTCTGAATCAGGTTGTACGGGTTGATGTGATCTGCTGCATGCCATCAATTTTATTCCCCTCAAAATTATGTGTGTCAAGGATCAAGACTTTGGACAACACAATCACAGAAGGGTTGAAGTTGGAGGGGACCTCTGGATGTCATCTGGTCCAACAACCCCCGTGAGACCGTTTCTCCAGCCTGTTGAAGTCCCTCTGGATGGCAGCACAATACTCCAGGATATCGGCCAGTCCTCCCAGTCACCAGCAAACTCACTGACGGTACACTCTGTCCCATCATCAATGCAGATGTTGAACAGAACTGGACCCAGTATTGGCCCTTGCAGCACACCACTGGTTACCAGCCTCCAACTAGACTTCATGTCACTGATCACCAGCCTCTAGGCCCATCCATTCAACCAGCTTTCAATCCACCTCACTGTCTGTTCTGTTCATCCAACCCGTATTTTATCAGCTTAACATTGGTCTAAAACTTGTAAGAATAAGACTCTAAACTTTCTTCCACATACTGTTCCCCACCTTCCCCTATCAACTCTGTTAAGGTCTATTCAGAAAATAGTCCTACTTAATTGAGCTTTCAAAAAATTAGAGCACGGTTTTCTGTTTTGGTTTTGTTTTTTCCTTTCTCTTCTACCTCATAAAGTGCTGGGCTAACTCTGGCCACTAAAAATGACGGATACGAGAAAGTCACACAAAATGGTACTTGCCTTCAGATATTAACGTTTAAAAACATATATTTCATGGTGAACAACGAGCAGACTGATCACAACGGATGTTTAATTTTTGTACATTGAGAAGGGTTCTTGACTTTTTATTTCCCTTGAGGAATCTCAAGCAAAGCATACTGTACTTGCCAAGACTGATTAAGTAAAATTAAAGTCACTAGAGTGTAAGTTTTACAGTGAATCTTTTTAATTGTCAGTGATGTCAGGTGAAAAAAAGGGGAAGGTAAAATTAAGACATAAAACATTCAAAGATGAGGGAACCAAAAGCTAATGTATCTTGCTACGCTTCCAAAGACCTGTCAGTATTTGAAAGCATGTTTCTCATCTTACCTCCATTAAAAGTCACCTCTCCAAGACAGTCTCTAGGTACTTTAGACGCACAGCGTTTGTGACAGTTGAATCTGCAATCTAAAATAAAAGATAAATAAGCCCATGCTACCAGAACCTTACTTCTACTCAGACACTAACATTCTATCATTCACTACTTCCATCACAAGCCTCAGTTCAGATTCATACATTTGCATGCAACTGAAGACAGCACCAATGAGGTCACCTCCAGAAGGAAATTAACGGTCTTGTCCTGATGTCACATGTTGATTTGCCCCACCGCTATTTATTATGTCAGCACTTCCCCTTCGAGTACAAAACAGTTTTCTACTTCTTTAGCTTTCTCTGTAGCTATTTTTTCCATTATGATGTAATTTTTCCATCCTCTCATTTGTTCCACATCCTTTTTTCCATTGCTATATGATTTAAATGTCTCATCTCTATCATTTTTCCCCACCTGCCACCTAAGACTTGCAGCCATCAGAGTCTCTGGGATAACAGACCCATATCCCAGAGCAAACATGCTCTGGAGTAAATCCCAAAGTCCAGTTCCCCTCTCATTCAGATTACAGGTTTGGCTGAACGCTGGAGCTCCACTTCTGCCTGCTGACACTGGGCAGACAGAATAGCATTATGCCCAGATCTGGCCTGACGTGGGGATGGAATCTAAGTTGGATGTGTGCTGTTTCTGCACCCAAGGTATCAGACTTATGCCCAGATCTGGCCTGACGTGGGGATAGAATCTAAGCTGGATGTGTGCTGTTTCTGCACCCGAGGTATCAGATGCAGCCTACTGAACAAAGTCCAGCGTGAGACATTAGTGGTACTAACAGGAATTTCTTTTATTAGCAGCATCGCTGTAATTTTCAACTCTGTATCAACATAACGAATTTCAAAACTCCCTAGTGCCCCCACAGCTGGTTTCAAACTGCTAATTTAGCCCCTTCCTGCTATCAAAGAAAGCTCATTGTGCTTTCCTTTTAAGCCCAGACAAGAGAAAAATCATTATCTCCCCATTTTTAGTAGCAGAGAAGGCAAACTCTGGAGCAAAATACAATCCTGTTCAGCTTCTGAGTGCCTACGAGGAAGCATCCTAGGAGACCACTGAACTGTCCTTTCTATAGCAGTGTTTTCAGTCCATATTAACACATTTGGTTACTTCACTAGTTTGAAGGGGGCTGGAAGAAACAGAGACATTTCAAATCCTACCAGGGAACTAGAAAGACTAAGAGTGAGTCAATCCTAATTAATTAAACTGTCCAGAAACATTCTTGGGTACTGCAATGCAACTCTCTAGTCCAGTAAACAGTTAGAAACATCCCCTACCATGCTTTTGGCCCACAGCACAATTCCAAACAGTCCCCAGGTTTAGTTCATAAATCAGAGCACCCCATGAAATTGTTCCCAACAGGCAGTCTGCATACAGCCACCCAGGCTGGGATGCTAAGAAAACTTGTTCATGAGCACAGGTCATTTTACCCTAGTTAACTTCAGTGTCCAGAAATGTCCCTGGGCACATTTAATTTGTTACCACAAATATAGCCTCAGCATCCCAAAGATCATCCTCAGAGTCCAAGGAGAAGCCTGGATGAATTCAAGAAACCTAGCGCTCTTACAGGTACTCAGGAACATGGGACTGCTGAAAGACCCCAGGCTTTGGGAATGTGCACAAGGGAGTTGGAGGGAAACCTTAACAATCTGTAGGAGAACGCAGTATGAAAATACTTGGATTGTTTGATATCAATTCCCGATATATTAGAAATATGTATAGGATCATACTGCATAAATGGAGGCCTACTAATAGACTCATTTCTGTCCTGTGCGTATACCTAACATTACTCTAGGCTTGTTTTCCATACATAAATGCTATTTTTATGCAGTGCCATCCACCTCCCTGAAATTGATGTGGCAGCCCCATTTGTTCAGCTGGATATACAGTTGCAACAACTGAATATGGTCAATAGTATCTATGTTAAAACTGCAAAGCACCTTTTTCAGGCATCATTATTTACGTATTACATGTATCCAAGAGACACACTGACTGGAAAAAAAATAAACAAAAACGGTTCAGGATGCAGACTTCAAACAGACTAAAAAAGACTGTAAGTCAATAAAAACAGAAATGAAAGATAAAACTGCTTCTTTACTTGCATGAAACAGCAGTATTTTTGGTCAAAAGAAAGTTAACACAGCTATAAGCTTACAATTTTTGCTCTCGTCTACTAAAGGAAATCGAAAACGTATTAAGCGACCTCTTTCAAAATGCTGACCTTTAGTATTCACATCTGACAAACTCACACGGAAGCAATGGAAAGTCTTTTCCATATTACTGTTTATGATTCATCGCTACAGTTTTCTTTCCTGCAACAAAGCTGACAGGTCCGCAATATCCAGCAATAAAGAGCCAGAAGAAGATCACAATGTCACAGTTACGCCCTGGGAACTGCATGGAAGAGTCTTGAGAACTGAAGTCATGCATCTTAATGTATACTAAATAAAAACCATGTGGCTGATGAAGCCTAAGCAAGTTCAGGAAGGGCACCTACCTGTATAAAATTTTTCCAAAAGATAATAACCAATATTCTGTACTAGAATAATATAATGAAAACTTACAAATTGTTCAGTGATGAGCCTAGAACACAGACAATGAACAAAGGGAAGTATTGCTAATTTTTATTAATTTAGAATTATCCTTCTAGAATTAAGGTGTTCTCAATCTACATGTGATTAAATCTTATTTTTCAGAAAAAACATACAATGCACAGCCTACCAAAATCAAAATGAGGGCTGCTATAATCCTCTCAAAAATAAGCAATTTTTCAAAAATTATACTGCCACATTTCGCAGTATACAGCCTTCTGGCAGTCAAAACATTAAGTTGAAATCAGTTTTAAACACAAGATCTTTACTGAAATTTATCGCTACAGCAGAAAATTAAACATTTACCTTTACACTGCATTCCTTGGCGAAAAAGGCCCTTGAGCAGCCGTTTGCAATACTGGCATATGGTGGGACGAGTGTAAGAGTGAACAGCAAAGGTGTGCGGAACCTTCACTCTGCAAAGCACCATCTTATCCATCCAGATGGGACGGCCACTCCAGGAGGGAATCCTCTTACTAGGTTCTGGGCAGCAGCGCTGGAATGAAGAAGGTATACATGATTTCCACCAAAACAGTTCTACTGCTGTAACTTTGAAAAGTCACAGCAGTCAGGTGAAGTCCCTGGTGTCTGGAAAACAGAGAACGTTGCACCCATTTTTAAAAAAGGCTGAAAGGAGGATCCTAGGAACTACCGACCTGTCAGTCTCACCTCTGTGCCTGGCAAGATCATGGAACAGATCCTCCTAGAAGCTATGCTAAGGCACATGGAGGACAGGGAGGTAATTCGAGGCAGCCAGCACGGCTTTACCAAGGGCAAGTCCTGTCTGACCAAACTATTGGCTTTCTATGATGAAGTGACTGCATCAGTGGACAAGGGAAGAGCAATGGATGTCATCTGTCTGGACTTCTGTAAGGCCTCTGACATGGTCCCCCACACCATCCTTCTCTCTAAACTGGATAGAGACGGATTTCATGGGTGCACTGTCGGGTGGATGAGGAATTGGTTTGATGGTCACATCCAGAGGGTAGTAGTCAATGGCTCAATGTCCAGATGGAGACTGGTGACAAGTGGTGTCCCTAAGCGGTCTGTATTGGGACCAGTACTGTTTAGTATCTTCATCAATGACATAGTGGGACCGAGTGCACTCTCAGTAATTTGCAGATGACACCAAGCTGAGTGGTGCAGTTGACACACCTGAGGGACGGGATGCCATCCAGAGAGACCTGGACAAGCTCAAGTGGGCCCATGGGAACCTCATTAGTTTCAACAAGGTCAAGTTCAAGGTCCTGCATATGGGTCAGGGCAATCCCCAGTATCAATATAGGCTGGGGGACGAAGCGATTGGGAGCAGCTCTGAGGAGAAGGACTTGGTGGATGTTGGTTGACAAGAAGCTCAACATGACCCAGCAACGTGTGCTGGCAGCCCAGAAAGCCAACTGTGTCCTGCTCTGCATCCAAAGGAGCGTGACCAGCAGGT